TAGTGTTTAATATTTTTGTTGTAAATTCTCAAAAAGAAAAAAATAAATTCACTTTCATTATATGTTTAGGTTTTATTAGAATTCTAATCAACGGCTATTATTACCAATTTTTACGTCCAGCAGCTGCAACGTGTCATTATGTATATAGTTGAAATAAAAAAAAGAAGGATATTGCGCTTGTCAATAAAAGACCACATAGAGTAAAAAGAACACAGAAAACACTTTCGGAACTCGGTTAGTCTCTTCTTACCTCACCTGTCATATTCATCTGAACTTGCACCAACTGGTTATTACTTTTTCGATCGCAAAAAAATGGCAGTATTAGGAAACATGCAGCATTCATTGACCGTATAGTCAGTGCTATTTTCCTATTGAATATAAGGATATATTAAAAATTTTGCCGTTTCACACTACTTCAAGCAAAAAGCTAGGAAGGAAACCTCCGTCAATATTGGAAAGAGCGGCTTCAAAAATTGATTTTTCTGAAAAAAAAACAAAAAACATTTTAATAGAAACAATTTTTGAAATTTTAGCTGACGGTAATCCTGACTGCTCGGTCAATGAATACCGAATATTTCCTTATCGGGAAACGGCTAATATTACCAATTCTATATCCCTTATAATTTCTTTTTACGTGTCATGTCCTTTCACGGCTCTCCTCCTCCCTCTATCCCTTGCTGCTCTCAGCAAGTTTTTTCCCTCTGCTTCCTCCCCCAGACCACGTTCTGTCATCCACTTGCTTAAGCCCGCCAAATATGTCACGCGTTGTTTTCCCTCGTCTCTCTTTCCCTCTATTCGACCTGTGAGTATCAGATTCTCTAGGGCCTCTTTCCTCATTACGCGTCCCAGAAACTTCAGCTGCCTCTTTCTTATGTTAAGTGTAAGCCTTCTCCTTGTTTGTAACCCCTCTAAGACCTCATCGTTGCTCACACGCCCGGTCCATGATATCCTTAGCATCCTTCTGTAGAACCACATCTCTGTCGCCTCGAGTCTCTTCTTCATCTTTGAGGAAATCGTCCATCATTCGCTGCCGTAAAGAAGAACAGATGTCACGTAACAGTTCAGTATTCTTTTCTTTATTAAAAAAAAAAATTTTTCCTGTCTCGCAATAAACTGCCCAAAATCTAAATGTTCGGCGTGGTGTAATGGTTGGAAATTTTGTCTTGCTAGAATCAATTCGCATTACTGAAAAAATAGTTCGATTCTCACTGGATATTTATACTTTCGGCCTTGTGCCACCATCTAATCCTCGCTTATAAAATCATTAATTCCCTCATTGGTGTAATGGTTAATAAACAGTCTCGCTAAACAATTACGAATATAAATATGAATTCGATTCACTGGGTGCCTCATGTGCCTTCGAACTTTCGGCCTTGTACTCTTTACATGCAATATACGCTTATAAAATATTAAAATAAATAATTATTATTATGATGGTTTGTAAGCTTGTCTCCTTCAAATCATTTACTACTGAAAAATTTCAATGATTCTCACTAGATGCCCCATACTTTCGGCCTTGTGCCACATCTAAGCAACAAATTTTCTCATTAAATTCGAGGTGGTGTAATGGTTATTTAGTTTTGAAGAACAATTAAAAATAAGCAAACTTTTTTCGAGCCTCACTGGGTGCCCCTTAATTTCGGCCTTGTGCCAAATCTGAGCTAAATTGGAAAATCACTACTCTGCTCAGCTTTTGGAATGTGTCCTTGGCCATCCCAATATCTGTCATTAAATATTTTAAGAAATTTAGAATATCGAACCCAACTATAAACTTAGTCATGTTTATATAAAAGATAATTAGAGTTTAACCAGTTAATGAATTTTACTAATTATCCTCACCTGTATTTTCTTATAGTAGAGAATTTATTTTTGTTGTTTTTTTTAAATATTAGATATTTACCCAATATGAGTAGCAAAAGCTACTCAAGGTAGCGGGTTACTGATCATGGTTGTTGCAGACTGAAGTGTTTTAAGAAAAATATTTTATCAATTTCAACCGATGATAATACCGGCTGCTTGGTCATTGAATACCCAAAGTTCATTTAAAAGCAATTATTATCATTACTATTATTGTTTTGACTTGACTGTCAAACATGGTATCTAACTTTTTGACTAGACCCGAACAATGGCTACATTTTGACTCAGGAGAAAACTTGACCTATGTCGACCTTTCTATTATTTTTTTACGATGCTTCTTTTATAAGATTTATATTAGACATTATATAATTGCACAAAGATTAATGCCATTAAATTGACCAAATTAACTCGACCTAGTATATCTATATATAATACTAAAACTCTACTCTTGTGTGCATTCATGTATATTTGTTCCAGAAATACAGCTTAAATTATGCATAATACCCCAACCAATTCAGGAGCATATTGTACATTGAACCCTTTCTGAGGGCAATGAGAAATTTCATTTAAATTAGAGAAGGTTCTTTTTTCTGTTTTAAAGGCATTTTAATAGCTATAGCTAGTGGGAGAAGAAGAGGATTAATACCTTTCCCAAGGGTATTAGCACATAAGTGAATGTAATGGATCCGACTGGATTCCTCAATCCAAGCCGCTATCCATTATCCACCGTATCCCTTTGTATATATATATATATATATATATATATATATATATATATATATACTACATTATAAATTTTTATAAATAAATGTCTCGGATGTTTGACAAGTACTTGATAAGTGAAGACGTCTGATGATGGTAAATAAATAAATAGATGCACGCTGGTTTGCCGTCGTTATGTATTTTGATATAAATGTGAGGAAGAAACAAGTATGTATAATAAAAATACAATTATTTTGAAAAAATAACCTAGAAAAAATAAAACTAAGTGCACAAAAAGGAGGCATCCATATTTCACGCCTTTTCAATAAATATGAATCTTCCTTAGCAGACGATTACTGTATGTTTTGTTTTTTCTGGAATGACTTTCACCTTTGAAAATTATAATATGGTAATTTTAAAATAAAGGAAAACAGAATTAACATTGTTTTATTTAAATATACTTAACCCCTGTATTAGTTCCATGATTGAAGTAGGTGAGGCATTTCCGAACAGGAGGCAGCATTTTCATTGAAGCTCTCTCTTCAAGAGATATCACTTTTAAGGGATTACACCAGATTTAACGAGATTTAAGACAAAAACTGTCTTAAGAGGATTGTACTCTTTTTTTTAAAAGAGATTACACCAGTTTTAAGCGGTCAACACAGGTTTGATCGTATTATTATTACCTCATAATTTTGTATCATGAACTGTTTTTGAAAGAAACACAGCGTATTTATGCTGGACCTAGTGTAACCAAAAAGTAAGCTTACAAAGGTAAAAATAATAAATGACTAAAAAAGAATACAATAGTAATGATAACAAAATTATGACATGCCGTTTCTTGCTCAAAATATGCCTGATGATTACAGATGAGGGTCATCATCTGTCGAAACATTGTTGGGAGAAATACTCCAGATTCACTGCTTCGGTGTGTTTAAGGATACGTGTGACAACGGTCGCTTTTACTTACCTTCATTCTCTGCTTTGTTTATGAACTGTAACTATGCTTTCTTGTGCCTCGGCCTTGTTTTCCATAGATATTTCTTTTTTTTTTTATCTTTCTTTTTCCTCGTTTTTTTTTTTTTTTTTTTTTTTACCAATTCCTTTGATTTACCCCTTCCCCCTTGCTTTAACTCCTCACCCATTCACCAAAGGCCATTTCCAAAATTGCAAACACATGTCAAACTTGTGTATATAAACAGAGAAACTTGTTTCTTCTAACATTCTCTTCTTAATTCTTAAGTAAAAATCCTCAGCAAAGCTTTGGTTTATTTGATATTTAACCTAATATAGTCGGACATAATTTTCTGGAAAAAAAAAAAAAAGAAGCTGCCAATCAGTAGTGACTCTTTTTGCGAAAGCGTGTATCCGGCTGCCGATATTCAAAGATTTAAAAAAAATTATTTCAGGCCTAGCAAGGCAATTAAGCCGCTAAGACGCAAGGGGTTACTGAGTGTTACAGAATATTATTTAAAAAAATACTGTTAAGAAGCTAGAACAATAAGGATCAGAATTAAGACAGAAGATGACGATTGGCATTGCATTTAAATTTTTGGAGATCAAAGTTGGCAGAAGATCACGGAACTAGAAGGGAGTTCCACAATGAGGAAGTGCAAGAGAAGAAACCTTTATCATAGAACTTACGGTTATATCTGGCCATTACAACTGCAAAGCCTCGCCGCAAATCTAGTACTGCGCTTTTCTTTTCTTTTTTTTTTAAGCATTACGCCCCGAGCAAGGCGTGAAGCCACTAGGATGCAGGGGGTTGCTGAAGATTTGGAGCGAGAGCAGATAGGAGTGATAGAAGAAAGGATGAGGAGAAGGATAGTGGAAAAGATCAAGGTAACTGGAGATGTCGATTGACATTACATTTGAATAGTTGGAGATTATAGCTCCCAGGGAAACAGGAATAGGGAAGGATGTTCCACAGGCGAGAGGTGCGAGGTATGAAGCTATTGGAGTAGAAGAGACGGCTACATCTAAAAGTTTCTACAGTGTAAGGGTGGGAGCGGGATGCCAGCCTCGTAGGGCGCTTGAATTTATGGAGTCTGGGAACCAGTGAAAGCAACTCAACGGAGCAATTACCATGAAAGTATTTGTAGTAAAGACAGAGAGAGGCGACGGAAATTCATAAAGTCTGGATACCATAGCGAAGAGTTCATCCGAACAATTACCATGAAAATATTTATAGAAAATGTACTGGGTAGCGACATTACAGGGGTGGGAAGGTGAATGAAGCCAAGACGCTATGTTAGGACCAATAATATTGCTGATTCTTATTTGGATTTTATCAAGAATCTCTAAATATGTAGCAGGAGCACCGGGCCATATGTGGTAGCAATATTCAAAGCATGGACGAAGGGTAGACCTATGAAATGTAAGATAGATTCTGTAGAGAAAGTTTTCACGACACGGTGAACCAAACTTTCTTAGGAGCAGACTTAAGCAAATTCCAGAATGGAAACGGTAAAGAAGAAGAAGAAGAAGAAGAAGAAGAAGAAGAAGAAGAAGAAGAATGAAAGAATGAAATAAAGAAAAATGAAAATAAAAGAAGAATTCTCCCTAAAAGACGACGACGTTGAAAATAAGAAGAAAAGAAGAAGAAGAAGAAAAAAAGAAAAGAGGAAAAGAAGAAGAAGCAAAGACGACGACAAAAATAAGAAAAGAAGAAGAAAAGAAGAAAAAGAAAAGAAGAAGAAAAGAAGAAAAGAAGAAGAAGAAAAAGAAGAAGAAAAGAAGAAGAAGAAGAAACGAAAAAAAAATAAGAAATAAAGAAGAAGAAGAAAAGAAGAAGAAAAGAAAAGAAGAAAAAAAGAAGAAGAAGAAGAAAAAAAAAGACGACAAAAATAAGAAGAAAAGAAGAAGAAGAAAAGAAGAAGAAAAGAAGAAGAAAAAGACGACGACAAAAATAAGAAGAAAAGAAGAAGAAGAAAAAGACGACAAAAATAAGAAGAAAAGAAGAAGAAGAAGAAAAAGACGACGACAAAAATAAGAAGAAAAGAAGAAGAAGAAAAGAAGAAGAAGACGACGACAAAAAGAAGAAGAAAAAAGATGACGAAAAGAAGAAGGAATGATGATGAAAAATACGAAAAAAGAAGATGAAATGACTAAGAAGGAGGAGGAGAAAGAGAAGAACAAGGAAAGAGAGTGGATAAAACAAAGAATTAAAAGTGGAGTTGGAAGGGAAAAATAGAGGAAGGTATGAATGATGGATGGAAAAAGAAAGAAGGAAAAGGTAAAAATAATAAATTTCCAAATAAAATTTGTAATTTAATAGTAATGATAACAAAAATAAAATGAAAAACAAACATATGTCCTGGTCGTAAAATGCGGGTCTGGAATTGATTCTATTTCGATAAGCCCAAAAATTCGACAGCCTGATCAGATTTATATGTATTGATCCAATAACACAAACAAACAATTTTAAAACACTAACCAGAAGCATTTACAAGAAATTAAAAATAGGAGATCTTAGGTTTGAAACCACTCAGAGCACAAAAGGCAAAAACTCCACCTCTTTCTAGAGAGAAAAAAAAGCACCACTAAAAATGAACAGAAAAATACTAATAAATTTATATTCTGTGGGGTTAGGACTTTTTTTTCAATTTTTTCCTTTTTCGTGCTTCATTGAAAAAAAATATTTTAAATTATTTTTAAGACTTTATTTATAACAAGATTGAACCAAATTGAACCTTGGGATGATCCATTCCTGTTTATCCGATTTTTCAAAAGAAAGTTTCTTTTTGACATTTTCTTCCCAAAAGTTTAATTTGTGGAACAGACTCCCGAATTTGATTTCTATCGCTGCAATCTTTTAACTCACAAACCGCGATAATAAAAAAATTTATACAACCTCATTCAATAAACCTCTTTCCTGTTGGCTATTGGGCCTTTTAAACTATTCTTTTTAAAAAAAAAAATTGAATAAAAACGCTTGTATTAAAAATCACAGAATTATTATTATTATTATTATTAATTTTATTAACATCTTCATCAGTATTTTTATTTGGGAAAAATTGGTATGTTTACTGAATTGTATCGTGTTATTTAATTGAAACATGGTCCTTTTTCTTTTAGTAGAACTACCATTTAGTTGATAAAAAAAAACAATTCTTAGTGTTTATGGGATGTTAATAATAAATTTTTATCTTCTGGGCAAATTATATGTTGATGTTTATTTTATGGGACACTGTTAGTAAATTGTCCATTCCTTTTTTTAATTTATTGTAGATAATTTATTATTTTATGTTAATTCATTCTTCATTCCCCATATTCTGTTAATCTATATCTCCAGGTCCTTGTAAAGCGACAATTTCTCGATAATTTTTATAACTAATTATGTTTCTGTCTGATGGTAAAATCACTAAATGTTTGTAATCATACACTTTACTGAATTTCTTGTCTTTTTACTATAATCCGTCAACATCTGTTGGTTTTTATTTCCGTTTCATTTTAAATTAGCATATCCTAGAGGATGGGTTACATCATTTTATTATTATTATTATTATTAACATCTTCATCATTATTGTTTTTATTATTTGGGCATGTTTTGTTTCCTGGTTTGTATCCTGTAGAGCCGAGTCCAAATTATGGTCTTTAGACCCTATAGTAGACCCTGTATTTAGCTGATAGCAATTTTCTTAATATATGGGATGTTCCTAGTAGGATAATCTTCAGGGCAGCTTGTATATTGATGTTAAATTCAAAAAAAATTAAAAATTCCTTTTTCATTTCACGAGGGCAAAAGTCCATTGACTGTTATTAGGTAAATTCTCATTCTTCAAAGCCCAATATCCTGTTGATCAAGTCCTTTTATTTAGACAATTTCTCAAATAAAAAAAATGGTTTTTCTCTAAAATGGTACTGCTATTTCAATAAAAATACAATTCCTGAATTTCTTGTTTTTTACATGATTTGTTTGCCAAAACCATTATTTCCTTTTCAAATTGAATTAGGATATCCCATATAATTCAAGTTACAAACAATTTTGGGTAACTGTGTCTGGTTGGTTTCTCATACAGATCTCTCAGTGGTTTTTAACATTTTTGTTATTATTCTTTGTGTTTTATCTTCCAGTTTTTATATTTGCCAACTTTTTATGTCTTTTTTTTTAAATTTGCTAGTTCGTTATTATTATTATTATTATTATTCAGTATTTTCTGAGATAAGATCTCATTATATGGCAATTATGCGTAGTTAGCGGGCTACATCCAGTAGTTTTAGGTATCATGTAATTGTCCTTTAACTCAAAACATTGTTCACTTTTCAGATAATTACTAGATTTTTAAATTCTCATAAATTTAAAGATTATTGGTTAAAACCAACGAAATTTCTTTTCTCGAAAAAAAAATACACTCTTTATCCTCTATTTAACCAAATTTGATCTTCAAGAATTTAAATGCAATGTCAATCGTTATCTATTATCTTCCTGATCTCTCTTCTATTGTTCTCGTTCCCTTATAATGTTTTTTTTTTCTCTAATTCTGTCACGCCCAGTAACCCCTTGTGCCTTAGTGGCTTTACTGTCTTGCTTGGGGTGAATTTGATTAAAAAAGATTTCTAAGAGGCTTCTATCCTGCAATAGTTCCACTACGCAATCAATAACGTCTTTATTTTACCCAAGTCTATATTTTGCTAGTCACTGTACCAAACACACCAAAGACAACTGGTATTATTGTAATCTTCTTTTATTTTTTTGATTTGTGGATGTTCACGTTGTAAGTCATAAGGTTACTTTATTTTTCTGTTTTAGCTCAATTCTTGTATAAAAATGACGCGATTATTATATAATGTTTGATTTTCTTTTATTTCTCACGGAATCTTCCATCAATTTGCTGTGATCTGGTTTCTTATTTGTTTGCATTGAGAAATCCCATGAGATTGTGAATATAGTGACTCGAGGAATTTCTCTGATTCATGGTTGTATAATTCTTTTTCCCCAGTCGAAAACCCCGCTTTTCTATCAAATTCCAATGGATGATTTTTGCTTATTATCTATCTTCTATTTAAAAATACTGTTTTATAAAAATTCTATACATAATAAAACACCGATTCTTGTACAATCACCGAAGTTAAGCAACATCAAGCCGGGTCAGTATCTAGATATCGTTATATCTCTTCTTTGTGGACATGCTGCCTCAATATTTTTTTTTATAAAATTCTGGTCTTTAATATGTATTATTATTGTTATTGTTATTTGATTTGATTTTATCTATGTATCATTTTCAAATGGTTTCGACCATTTTGTAAAAAATGAAATTAGATGTTTCCAAAATCTCACGATTTCAATATAAATTCGATTGCTATTTTTAATGTCTCAATTCTTCATTCCCCATCATTTGATGTTAATCTCGATCTCCAGGTCCTTGTATTTGGACAGTTCCTCGATTAAAAGATCATTAATCTTTCTTTACTGCTTGTTTTAAATTCGAAATTTTCTGAATTTTTGGTTTTTATGATAATATCAACAGAAAAGTTTTTTTATTTATGTCTGTTTGAACTGGCATGTCCACAGTGGATAGTTAAATAACATTTTGTGGTTATTATTATTTTTAAAAAACGTTTTCATTCTTGTTTTTATTATTTAGTGCATGTTATGTTTTTCTTTGTATCATGTAGAGGTGAGTTTAAAATAAACTTTCTATAGTAGAACTATTTAATTCTTTTTTTCTTCCACTTTTTCTTAGTATATGGGATACTTGATAAAGTTGCTTTTTCTTCAGAACAACTTTATGATGATTATTTTTCGGACACACTTTTTTAATCCAATGTTTTTCACATTAATGATCAGAATCAAAATTACTATTGGTAACGTCTCATATCTTTTTCCGTGATATATGATTTCTCAATCTCTTCGTCATCTCGTTTTGAACAATTTCTCGATAATTTTCATGGAGGTGTTTTAAAACTGGATTCAATTTTGTTATTTCAATAAAACCATTTGGCAGGTCCTATGTCGATTAACAACCTTGATTTCTTCCATTTCAATTGACATTCTAAATCAGATCTGGTTTTCTAATTTTTAAAAAAATAATTTTTTATCTTCCATTATTTTAATTTTAAACTTCAAAAGACACAAACGGACTCCATTGAACTGTATTGTTTATCAGTCTTTGTTCCTTTTTGAGGCGCGCGAGAATTTGAATGGCTAATTTGTCGGAAGCTAAAACGTAAATTGTCGTCCACTGAGCTGGGAAACACTCACGCTGCCAGACACGGAACAGTCTTTGTCCAATAACTCCAGACATACCAAATCAATTTGTCGTAAAGTAAAATTTCGTATAATTAATAGTCGAATGCGACCGGCATTCCAACAAGTCAATGATAAAACTGTGTTAAATACTTTTATGTTTCCTTGATATTATTTTAAATATCCCGATCCTGGAAAATCCTAGTTATTTCTGTTTTTTTTTTCCCTGTTTATTTAATTTTTTTTTTTAACTCTAATTGTTTATGGTCCGGTTCCTTGTACCACGGTGATAGTCCAAGATAGAACCAATAAAGAAGAACTCGAACACGGATATGGAATAACACAGATATATTACAAACAGGAATATATACAGAGAAGTAGAAAATCAGTGTTAGTACGAACAATCAGGTTTAGTAGTAATTGTCTGAACGCGACTCTGTTTCGGACTGCCTCTGACTCGACTGACTGACTCGCTCGCTCTGACTGACTGACAGACTTCTGACGGACTTCACTCCAGACTTCAGACTGAACAGTATTTAGTCACCCCCCCCCACGAGGGCATCATGTGGCACAAGGCCGGTTTAACGTGGGATCTCCGAGCCCGTGGGATCTCCGAGCCCGTGGGCTCGGCCAAAAATATGCCCTTTGAACCCGTATAAACGGGTTCAGGGTCGGTTTACCTCCCCGAAAGAGACTCCGCCCTTCGGCGTAGCCTCGTTCGGGTTCCTCCCCGCCCGAAGGCAGAGAGTTCAACCGATCAGCCGGTCAGCCGGTCGCCCGACTTCGGACTGAACTCCCTGCTTCCTCTTGAGGCGCAGTATTTATTACGTATGGAATAGTCCATTATGTTATCATGGGTAAGGTCCCATAACACTATGTTAAAACCGTTTCTATCTTCTTATTTTTCTTAAAAAAAAA